GGATCTGAAGTAAGAACTAAAGTGCACTGAAAGAGGGAAGACAGGGACCTCAACGCAGAAGAAGGAGGTGGCAAGTGGCACCTTCTCTTTGACACCTGGCTCAAACATGCAGATGCACAGTGACTACTGGCAGCCCCAAAGGACTCCACTGCTGGAATGGAGGGGACTCAGCAGACTGAAGTGTCTAGTGAGTTATCCCACTTCAGATGTCCCCCAGGAAGAGGTGACTGGCCAGCTACCATTTGGAACAGGGGCCACCTACCATACAACTCAGAGCAGCTGAGGGTTGGCTTCATCATCCGGCCCCTGTGTCAAGGGAAGACAGAGCTGAATACAAGTTGGCAGGATGCACATGGAGAGTTGTAGGGATTTCAGCATCATAACCAGAAATCAGCCTGAAATTCAGTGGAACTAAAAGTGCAGGCTTGCTGGGATTATTATCCACTACTGACATAAATCTACGGCTGCTTTGCTGGGACCAACGTGGATCTGGGGTCTGTTTGCCCACTCCGTCTGCCAGTGAAAGCAGAGACACACCCTGAAGTAGACATCTTTTTCTTTATTTTCTTCCTCCCTTTCTTTTTTCGCTCTTTTCTTTTTTCTTTGGATTGTTTGTTGTTTTTATGAGTGTCAGCACTGTTCTAGGTTTTTTTTGTTTTTGTTTTGTTCTGTTGTTTTTATTTCTTCTTTCTCTTTCTATCCTGTTTTCTTCACCAGTTTCCCAAAGTTTGAGTAATCTTCCTTTGTCCTCCAGCCTTGTTTCTAATCTCTTTCTCTTCTTCTATTTCTCTCTCTCTCTCTTTTTTTTTTTTTTTTTTTTTTTTTGGCCCCTAACCCTTTTGAAAAACTTTCCCTGTGGATAAAATCACCACATTAAGGGCATATTTACTGTATACAACTTTCTGGTTTGTTTAGATTTTGTTACATAACCACAAAATTAGTTCATATGGTTAAAGGTGGCAAATTAATAGTTATCACAGTTTGTCATTTTCTGGGCTGTGCTTGATGCTATTTTTACTACTGATTGCACTACTTTAGTCAATATTACATAATTGTTGTAATCAGTTGCACTTCCTGGTATACCAAAACTGAGACTGCCTGAGGATCATAAACAATACTGTAGGACAGTGCCAAAGAATCAGGGGCTAAAAAAAGCAGGCAGTGACTTCTCATTCCCAACAAATGAAGAGGCAAGACACTGCAACAGACTCAAAACTGAAAAGCCAGCTACACTCGGAAGATGTCTCTGAGAAATAGTTATTTCCTAAGGGTTCCTGATACTAGCAATAAAGTTACCTGCCACAAGCAATATACAAACATCAACCTAGGAATTAAATTACAAAAAGAAAATGAAAAGAGAAACACGAAAGACTCCCACCACAGAATTCCAGCTCACCAAAGACAAACCCAGGCAGTAATGAGGTGGAACAATTCGAAGCTACCAACCTGAACTCTGAAGTGGTAACAGCACAAGTAACAAAGCAGATGAATGAAGCTCCAGAAAAAAATCAAATCAGAAACAATTTCTCATATAACTACAAAGACAGTGACGATAATAGGAACGTGAGTACTGAATCGAGAGCAGATAGAGATAAATACAAGAGCTTAGGAAAATAATGGAAACCATAATTGCCTACAATAGGAAAAAAAAGCCATCCATGAAACAGATTCAAATGATATCCAGGAGATTAAAAATTCCACTCAAAGTATACGCAGCAGAATGAACCAATGTTGAGGACAGAATATCAGGTCTAGAACACAGGTTTGAGGTTAGTGACCATGAAAAGAAAAATTTAAAAATAGCAAGGGACCATGAAATATCAATCCAATAGCTGCTAGATGGTACAAAGAATAACACAAGATGGACTGGAATCAATGAAAAAGCAGGAGATAGTGCAAACAACATAAAGAACCTGAAGTAATGGCAGAAAACTTCTCAAGCAGGGAAAAAGAATTTGAGATACAGATAAGTGAGGTATATAGAACTCCTATTAGCCATAATCAAAAAAGAAATCTATAGGAAGGCATATAGTCGTCCAGTATCCAGAAATTCAATATGAAAATAGAATATTAAAAACTGTTAGAGAAAAGAAACAAATCATCCATAAAGGAAAGCCCATCAGAATCACAGCAGACTTTTCAACACAAACCCTCAAGTCAAGGACAGCTTGGAGTGAATTATTTCAAGTCCTAAAAGAAAACTACCTCCAGCCCAGACTGAGGTACCCCACAACCTTTCAAAAGTGCTGGAGAGCCAGGCATGGTGGTGCACACCTGTAATCCCAGAACTCGGGAGGCTGAGGCAGGAGGATTGCTATGAGTTTGAGCCAGCCTGGGCTACACAGTGAATTCAAGACCCTGTCTCAAACAAAACAAAACAAAACAAATAAAATTGATGGAGAAATAAGATATATCCATGAAAAAGAACACCTGAAGAAATTCATGACCACCAAACCAGCACTCCAAAATGTTCTGACAGACATTCTAGAGAGGTAACGGGGACTACAATTCCATGAACCTCAATATCAGACAAGGCAAGAGTGGGGAAAAAAGGGGAACCAACAACATGAAGACCATATGACAAGAATAAGTGAACATATATCAGTTATAACCATCAATGTAAATGGTCTCAGTTCACCAATCAAAAGAAACAGACTGGCAGAATGGATCAAGAAGCAAAATCTAGCAATATGCTCCATATAAGAAACACATTTAACTAAAAAACAAAATTCATAGACTGAAAGTCAAAGGATGGAAAACAATTCTTCATGTGACCGGAACCTGGAAAAAAGCAGGTGTAACTATTCTATTTGCAGACAAAATGGATTTCAACCCAAGACTGATTAAGAGAGACAAAAGAAGGCTACTACGTCCTTGCAAAGGGATTGATCCAAGAATAATAGATAACAATCATAAATATCTACCTATCAAATACCAGCACATACAATTTTATGAAACAAACATTAATGGACATGAAAAATAAAATAAGCACTAATATATTTGTAATAGGGGACTGCAATATCTCACTGTCACATATAAACAGATCAACTAGACAAAAAAACCAACAAAGAAATATTGAAACTGAACCAAACTTCTGAACAAATGTACTCAGTGGATATCTACAGACTGTTCCACCCAACATCAGACTATACATTCTTCTCAGCTGCATAATGGACATTCTACAAATTAGACCACATATTAACTCATAGAGCATGCTTAATTAAATACATGCAAAGGAAATGAAATTATCCCATGTATATTATCAGATCATGGTGCAATGAAATTGGAAATAAATGGCAAAATAAACCACAAAAAATTCATAAACACATGGAAATTAAATAACACTCTCCTGAACAACCAATGGGTCACAGATGAAATTAAAGAAGAAATCAGAGACAGTATCTACAATTAAACAATAATGCCAATATGACATACTGGAACTTACGGGATACAATGAAAGAGTCCTACAAGGTAAATTCATGGCAGTGAATTCCCATATCAGAAAAACAGTGAGCTCAAATAAACAATCTAATACTGAATCTCAACTTCTAGAAAAAAAAAGCAAGTCAAGCCCAAAGATTGCATGAGGGAGGAAATTATAAAAAATCAAAGCAGAAATTAATGCAATTGAGACTAAAAAAACAATACAAAGGATTGATTAATGAATGGAAGAGTTGGTTCCTTGAAGTTTTTGTTTGTTTTTTAAATGACAAACCCTTTATCATCAATACCTACTTTGAGAACCTGTATTGTAACAGGATGGAAAACAGAAGAAATGGAGAGATTCCTATGACTCATTCCAGATTCATATGAATTACCAAAGCTAAACCAAGAATATATAAAAATTCTAAATAACTCAAATAACCTATGAAATTGAGGATGTAATTATAAACATATCAACAAAGAAAAGACCAGGTCCTCACGGATTCACTGCTAAATTCTACAAGAAATTTAGAGATCTATTGCTACTACTTATCAAACTCTTTAATGAAATCAAATGAAAGCAACACTCCCAAATTAATTCCTGGAAGCAAGCATTACCCAGATAGTAAAACCACAGAAGGATCCAACTAAAAAAAGAGAACAACTGGTCAATCTCCCTAATGAACATAGGTACAAAAAAATCAGTAAGATAATGGTAAGCAGGACACAGCAAGTCAAGATCAGACATGATTTAGCTCAGTGGCACCATGCAAGTACAAGGTCCTGATTTTGATTCCCGATACCAGGAAAAAAAATATAAAATACCACTGGTTGGGCTGGGGTTATAGCTTAATGGTCGTACATTTGCTTAGCATGTGTAAATCTCTGGATTTAATCCCTATTACATCAAAACAAACAAACAAACAAACTCAATCCCTAATAATTACCATTAGACATTTCAGAACTGATTTTAAGATGCATTTTTGTAAATACAAGAAAAACTCAATATACAAAGAAGGCTGTTTATATGTTTCTGTTAATAGGTATATAGTACGTAAAAATTAATATCAACTACAAAATATACTTCAATTGACTTTTTTAACCTCTTTTTCCCTCCAGTCCTGGGGGTTGAACCTAGGGCCTCATAGCAAGTGCTCTACCACTGAGCCAATATAGTTTAATTCAAATGCAATGATTTGCTTTTGAAAACTTATTGGAAGGTATTTTGCAAGTTATGTTGAGTTATATTTAAACACTGAGTCAAATATATATTTAGAGTAGGAGGGAAAGACCTACTAACATTACAGATAGTCTAATTTTCTTACTTTTTTATCAAAATGCAAATCTATCACTGATTATCACAGTTGTCAAAAGTCAAACAACACAATCAATGACCAAACAAGTCATGAATTTAATGTACTGCCTTTCTGTAATGAAGCTCCCCATAACTAAAGCTATACAATATTATGAACTAATTTCACTATCAATTAAAAGTAAAATTTAAAATAATCATATATTTTTTCACCTTTATTCATGTTTATCAACTATGAAAAATCTGCCTTCATGCTAAATCTTACCTCGTTGTATCTGTTGCTGGGAATTTTGATGCTTGTTTTCCGAACTTCCATATCAACCACCAAACCTTGAACTACTGGCAACGTATACTGGTAATTTCTGAAGTCCTGGACAAAAGCACATTGAAGTAGAATTAAAAAGTCCTAACTGGTAGGATTTGATTTATAGTATTAAAACTAGTACAAATAGAAAGAATGTCAATATTGATTCTATTTAGTCAAATAAAGAAATGTATAATAAAAGCCCCACTATGCATATTTTAGCTCTCTAAAAAGTCTTGTAAGGATATAAACCAAATAGTTACCTCTTATACCAACATTAAACAGGTACTTTAAAGTTTACTTTGCTTTACCACCACTTAACATTTTCTATATTTACTTTTTAACTGTCTCCTCTATGACAAGCTCTACAGGGTAAGGATTCTCAGTTATTTCGTTGTTGCTATATCTCCAATACCTAGAACATCATAGGCACTCAGTGAGTGTTTGTAAGGCCAGATACACACACACACACACACACACACACACACACACACAAACACACACACACACAGAGTGTCAACCTAGAATTTTACATCTGGTAAAAATATCTTTGAAATATGAAGATGGAATAAAGTTATTAGAAATACGAAAACTGAAAGAATTCATACATTCAGTGTGGCTAAAGTAAAATGAACAAAAGTGCTAAGAGACAGGGAGAAACTGGCAATATAGGACTAGAGTTTATAGATTCTAATAGATTACCACAAAGACTTTTGACTTTACTCCGTGGAGACTGTTATACTGTTTTAACAGACCTGGCTTCTCTATTTAAAAAGGTGATAAATGAACAAGTGCAAAGAAAGGAGATGAGATAAACACAATAAAAACTATCCAGGTGAGAGACAGTGATGACTTGGATGAGGATGCTAATAGTTCTAAAGGTGGTGGGAAGCTGTCAGATTCTAGATAAATTTTGAAAGAAAACTGGTAATATCTGCTTCTGGACTGAATGTGGAATGTAAACAAAAGACAAGAATTGGAGCCTATATATTTGCTTAGGAGACATGAGAGAGCAAAAGACAGGAAAATAATGAAGTTATATCCCAGTCCATATAGAGATCCATCAGTAGAGAGTAAGAGCCTCAGTAGCTTAAGGTACTAAGTGCAACCATTGACCAATCTTTGGCTGAATAAGCTATTTATATACACAGGAAGCCACTCTTAAAATGAGAACAAGACAAAATGTTAGGTGTTTCATTTATACATCACCTCTAAGCTTACAATAATCCTGCAAGGTCACTTACATAGTAAGTGTATATAACCAGAGACTAGAATCCTGTATTTCACTCCAAAGCTTCCTGTTTCCTACAGAGTATGTATGTTCTATTCTCCTCCAGGGCATGCCTATCAACAAAATATAAAACCCTTCTCTTCCTTCTCCCATACAAACTCTAGTAAAATAATAAGAACATTAATAACAATAAAAACAATTTCCAACTTACTGCAAGAAGATTCATGATGGTATGCCCTGTCTCTCCAAACAATGGCTTCCGAAATCTCACACTGAACAGCGGGCAGGGATAAACTGTAGAGATGGAAAGGATCAGACTAAGTTTTTCAGCTCAAAATTCTTGGAAAAGAGTTATCATGGGTTACATAATTTTCAAGCTGTAATTTTAATGGCTCATTAGAACATATCAAATGCATAAATTAAATAAAAAGTATTTAACATGACGGCATAGAAATCCTGAGCTAAGGTAAGTCTTCTGATGACAATAACCTTTTTGATATAGCTATTTAAAAAATGACCCACAAGCTGGGAATGGTGTTACACACTTGTAATCTCAGCACTGAGGGAGGCTGAGGCAGCAGGATTGCAAGTTTAAGTTCTGCCTGGGAAACCTAACAAAACCCTAGGTCAGGGGGAAAAAAAAAGCCAGGAATGATGGCACATGCCTGTAATCCTAGCACTCAGGAGGCTAAAGCAGGACGACTGTTGCAGGCCAGCCTGAACTATATAGTGAGACCTTGTCTCAAAAAAACCAAAAATATATAAATAAATAGCTTGCTCTGAGGATGTAGCTCAGTTGTAGCACATCCCTGGATTTGATTCCCAGTACCACAAAAAAGAAAAAAGGATCCACAAATTCTTATGAAGTAATCTTCTTCAAACTGCATCGGTATGACCCAGGAATCAAATGTGGAGGGTGACAAAAAAATACAGTCACACTTAAAAACATTTAAAATTAAACATTTTTTAAAATTTTAAAAAATATTGCAGTAAAAGATACATTGCTGGGCCAGGGATTTAGCTCAGTGGTGCTGTTGACTGCCTCACAAGTGCAAGGTCCCAATTTCCATCCCTGGTACCAAAACAGAGACATTGCCATTAATCCCCTTCAAATTACTCTCCCTTACTTCCAATACACTCACTCCATTGTCCTGGTCATTTTATGAAGCAGTTCTAGAAGAAGTACTCTTTTGAGAGTGTCTTTACAAGGTGCAATTTAAAAATTACAGTGATTCTTGCTGCTGAGAGCCATCTACCAGAAATGCTGGCTTGTAAAAACATTGTGTCTTCCTCTACCTTATTTAGTCATTCTGGCACCGTGTGATTCTTGCTCCTCCTTAGAGTTAAAATGACCCTGGAAGGTAAGCTTTTTCAATTGGTTCAGGACAACAAGGCAGCCACAACAACTTGCAAACTTTAGTACAACTAAAGACATGAAAGAGGACTTCCATAACTGCTTTGGAAAGTGGCAAGAATGATGGGACAAATGTGTTTGAAGCAAGGGGGAGTATTCTGAGGGAAGACTAATGGCAATATTTTTTTACTATATTAAGTATTTTAAAAATTGAGACATTCACCATTTATTTTGATTATATTGTGTATTTCTCAATTCCTCTCAGCTCACAAAGTTTAAGAGTTCATTCTACTATAACTTTTAATGAGGATCCTCCTTAAAAGACTCAAATACCAGGTTATAATACTAGCTGGCTCATTCCTCAATCTGTGCCATTTCCTGCTTCATTTAGCTGAGTCATTTGCTTCCTTCACAGTTCATCCAGAGGACCTTCATCCAACAAGTATTTCTTACCCAACTCCTCCATTCCTGGTCAAGTTAGAGCTCATCTTTGGGACTCCCAAAGAACTTAACTTTAAGCATGAGTTTTAATACAATACACTACTCTAATAAGGATTTCTAGATATGATCCTTACAAGGAGAGAGTACATGACTTCCCAAGAGAGTACATGACTTAGCCATTTCTAAATTTCTAGGATTCATGACACATGGTAACCCTTGATCAAATTCTTATTAAATGAACAAATAAATGAGTGAAAGAAGAAAGCTGACTTGCTAAGAACTTAGGCTGTACTGTTGTTTATAAATGCTTCACTTACAACCTCATTTGATCTTTTTATAATGTAAACTATAAGGCAAACATTAAAATCTCCAGTTTATAAAAGAAACCGATAAAGAACTTTAGTGAGAAAATGACAATCAGAAAACTTGAGTACAGTAACTTGCCCAAAGTTACAGAGCTATTAAGTGGTAAAGTTGAGAACCTTACTCAAGTGGTCTGATCCCTAGACCAGATAATTTTTAATAAGGTGAATACATAAAGTTTAAACTAAAAATTTCATTTCATTGTGCATGCGTATGTATGTGTGTATATATATGCATATATACGTGTGTGTGTATGTATATATAAATATATACATACATACACACACACACACACACGCACGCACAATTTTTTTTTTTGTACCAGGGATCAAACTTGGGTCCTTACACTTGCAAGGCAGGTGGCAGCACCAATAAGTTAAAGATATTAACTACTTGTACTAGTTGCCCTGCTACAAGCATGGGCAAAGAAGCCCCCTTCAGTGGCCTACCTTACTGAGAACAGTCTCCATATCACTAGCTTGAAACTGTTGGATTAAACAAAATATAATTTGTCATAGCTATTTTCCAATTAGGTGACAATAAGTATGCTCACCATATACTATAGATATATAATACATACTATATAATATAAAAGTAAAATTGCTTAAATTCAAATTAATTTTCTCAAAATAATTGTTTTTAATCAATGAACCATAAAAATACCAACTTCTTCATTTGATATTTTCAGTCCTCTCCCTCACAGCTAAAATAAGTGGACACTGGTTAGACCAAGCCTAGCTATTTCAGAAGACTAATTCTACTGAATTATATTATGAAACATATGGTCTGAATATCCCAAACTTTCTTTAGGTACCATGCCTTGGTCATAAGGCTTAGAACTAGGTGTTTTTAAATACTTACGTCGATATTCAGCTCCAAGTCTCAACATTAGTCGAATGGGAAACACTTTAGCCCAAGGAGTTTCCCATTTCTGGATGAGAATCCCAAACAAGTAAGGCGGGGTTGGGAGTACTAGGTCTTGCAGTGACTGGTAGGTAGATGTTACATACAAGAATCCACCATGTTCTTTACTGCCGAGGAAACTCTGACTGAAGAAGGAATGTCCCAAGTTGCTCACAACATTCCCTGAAATGAAAAAGTTCATTATTTTTTATTAACAAATCAATCATATTTTTAATACTCATTATTACCCAAAACTAGACTGGACACTACCAAACACTAATTCCCAATTTTTCACTAAGAAAAATCCATGCTCAGAAAGTTCTTTTTTTAATGAAGGGAATTATTAAATGCCTAACAGTATTAGCCATACAGTGTCTTCTGAAAAATAACTTATCATTATAATACAAATATACATATAATGATTAGCCAAATGTTATGGTATAGTTTTTTAATCTAAGATTGTGGAACAAGACTTGTACAAACTTCCATCTTTTCTGGCAGCCATTGTAGAATCCAGGGTAGAGTGGCAGATATTTTTAGATGTCTACAAGTCTCAATGCGAATAAGAAGTTAGGAATAATAAGTACAAAATTTTTACTAACAGAAATATTCTCCCAGGGCTTCTTAGTCATCTGGTGTTTTTCCACCAGATGATAAAAAGTATTTCCTGGTGACAACATCAATTCCTTAGTTCTTTCAACTCACAATTTTTAAATTAAATCTCTCTGATGTTAGTTTGTTTTAGGGATGAAGACACAGAATTGAGCCACACAGATGAAAATCTGGTACTCATAAAGCTTTCCTTCTATAGAGGGAGACAAATAATTTCAGTAAGTAAATTTAGAGAAAAATGCCTTGAAAAAATAAAACAAGGTCATGTAGATGAAGGGGGCAGAGGAAAGTAAACTTCGTTAGTCAAGAGGGTCAGGGGGCTGGGGATTTAGCTCAGTGGTTCTGCCGCTTGCCTCACAGGCCCAAGGTCCCAAGTTCAATTAAAAAAAAAATTAAGAAAATGAAAAGAGCCAAGGCCTAAAACAATATATTTGCAAAATGTATTATCTGACATGAGTGTTGCACCCAAAATTTACAAAGTACCGAAACCTCAAGAAAACAATCTAGAACTGGGGATTTAACTCAGTGGATCTGCTACCTGCCTTATAAGTGCAAGGTCCCAAATTTTATCCCTGGTACCAAAAAAAAAAAAAAAAAAAAAAAATTTTTTTAGGGGAAAAGAGAGAAACAAAATATT